AAAAAAAAAAAAAAAAGAACTATCCAGGGGGCCCAAGCAATGTTGTAAAGTACCATCTGCGTCGAAAAAAATGCAGTTAAATGTTAGCTGCAGTACATGAGAATATTTGTTTCATGAATAAAAAAATATGCAGAGTTCAGTTTTACATGAGCACAGCCGAAAAAGAGGCCCACGGAAAGCATCTTCTCTTCTCCCATGAGCGGTTTTAATAACGGTACGACGATGAGCTGAAAAGACAATGCAAAACAGAGTCAACCACACTAAATTTCGAGTTAATTTGAGCCAATTCGTTAATGTATGGTATAAAAATTACTAGTGATATCAATCCACCAATCCCAACAATTATCATCAGGTCCGCGAATTCGTTTTTGTTAAAGTGAAATTGAGCCTTCAAGTAATACTGCACGATGTTTACCGCCAAAATTTAAACACACATCAATTCAAATATTTTGAAATGAAAAAAAAAAATTGTTGAAAAGTTGTGTACGTACCATCAAAGAAGCATTGAGGCCAACTTCCGCAACATTGATAGAGAATGCAACAACGGCCGCTTTCGAGAAAGTGGGGCTGAAAACATGAAAAAAAGTCGAGCATTAGCATGATGTTTTTACCTAATCCGCAACAAGCAAATGGCATCGTCCATAGAGGGAGACTCGATTTTTTCATGGGACCTTTCTCGACAAGAAAATCAGTATCTGTGACCTTTGAACAAATGTTGTTGTTGGACTCTGGAAGAAACACTCTCATATAAAGCAATGCAATAATCGACATTGCTGCAGCAACCTGTATATAAACAAAGAAAATTACATTCTACTAATTTACTTTTGAACAGTTTTCTTTGTTAACTAAATACAGGCAAAACATAATATTTTGATGGGAAAAAATTACTTTAAATGTGGTTGAAGTCGGTAGAAAACGAGTCGAGAAGTTCCCGAATACGAAAGAAAAAGATGCAAATCCGGACATTATCCCCAAAACTGCAGCCCTTTTTCCCTCTGGAACATTATCTGCCTGCAAAGGAGTTTATAGATCGCGCTCTTGTTACGCCTCTTGGCGTTCACGGCTCGACTGAAATCCGAGGGGCGAAGAGTTGAGCTTCCCTTTAGGGTTAGCTTCCGAACAGTGGGTTACCAATTGCTTGGTTCAAACATCCTAACTCTCAAATTAAATAAAAAAAAAAAGCTAAACAAAAACGAGAAAAACTAATGTTCATAGTGAATGAGTGAGTGATTTATTTAGCTAAAGACATTTTGTAGGGTAAAAATATAGTACGGTAAAAATTGTAACAATTAACATGCCTATATATGAAAGGTCAAAAAGGGAAAACATTTAAGTTACCACGTATGCAAGGGCAAGAAACTAAACACTTCCTTCAGTTGCCATGGAAATCAAAGTTTTGAGAGCATAGTAAGCGTAGAAGTAGTATTTTGTTCTGTTGTACGCCAATATTACTGCGTCCCATAAACAGTACAATAAAAAATATTCGAAAGACAAAAACAAAATAATCATGGTAAATAAACAATAATAACAGTCTAACACCCATTACAAAATCAATTTACATTGGGTTTTAATAATTTTAATATATATATATATATATATATATATATATATATAAAGTTTGATTATTTTTTAAATAGTAACCATTTCCCGCCAAAATATGTTGTTTACTAATTTTGGAAAATATTAAACATTTTATGGTATATTTTAAAGATACAATTAGGTAATTGTGACTGATTTATTAAGGTGAAAAATCACATAAAATTTTTTTTTGTATCTCAAGATATTCATATCATATACATGTATATGTATATATATATATATATCATATATTTGTACCTAAAATATCGAGATCTATCACATTTTTAACAAACATTAGATTTACTTATATATTTTTAAATTAATCTCATCAATAAATAATATTAATATACATTAAATATTTATCATTATATACAAAAAGAATATTACATCTGAAGTGAAATAGATTTCATCCGGACTCCTTCAACTCGAACGGCCTCCGTACCTACAGAACCCAACGCCGGGGGTGGCCCCGGCGTCGGGCCTCCGATGCCTAAGTCAGTGTTCAGATCAAGAGAGAGAAAGAATGATAGAGAGAGTCGTAATAGAATGAATGAAGAGAGGATGAATGAATGTATACCTTAGCCCCCTCTTTATATGGAGAGTGTACCTTTTGGGCTCAAGTTAAGCTTGGCCCATATCGTTATGCTTAGTCCCTACGTGAGCTTATCCTCCAATATATATTCGTTTTTTCCATTAAACTGGGTGTAGTATAATATCATATATTATCTAGTCCCCCCACTCTGGTCGAGTAAGCATAACTCGATCCAAGAGTGAAATGTCTCTTCGAGACGCTTCGCCAACCTGCCACTGAGGTTATAGTTTGAATAAGTTCTCAATCGCCGAATAATCATAAGACTTCCCAATGAGCACCGAAAGACCGCAATGGATCGAAAATCGAATGATCATCCACTGAGATAAATAATTGAAGGACCTTCAACAGAGCTCGAAAAACCGAAAGTCAAAAGTCGAATGACAACTGAGGTCGAAAACCAAGAACCGAGAGACCCCTGAGATCGAAAGCCAGAAATCGAGAGACCGCTGAGGTCAGAAATCGAAAATCGAGTAATTGTCGATGAGATCGAATTCCGAGAATCGAGAGACCGTTGAGGTCGAAAACAGAGAATCGAGGGACCGCTGAGGTCGAAAGCTGAGAACCGAGAGACCGTTGAGGTCGAAAAACCAAAAACAGAGTAACCACCGATGAGGTCAAAAGTCGAGAATCGAGAGACCGTTGAGGTCGAAAACAGAGAATCGAGAGACCGCTGAGGTCGAAACCCGAGAACCGAGAGACCGCTGAGATCGAAAAACCAAAAACCGAGTAATCGCCGCTGAGGTCGAAAAACCAAAAACCGAGTAATCGCCGATGAAGTCGACCAAGAACCGGAAAACCACTGAGGTCGAAAATCGAAAAGCTAGATGCTACTGATGAGGTAGAAAAACAAGAATTAAATGACCACTTCCCGAAATTTTGAATTTGAAAATTTGAACTTATGTTTGTTGTGTTTCGATCATCCTGTTGGAGCTCTCTTAGACCACCCCTTCCTATCGCCCCTCAGTTCAAAATTTAAAATTCAAGTCTGCTGTATATCCTCTTAAAACCCGAATAACCTGATTTCGTGAATTGCTCTGAATGAACTCTCTCGACCTGCCACAGAGGTTGAAAAATAAATTCGACAAGACCAAACCAAGCAAAAACCATCAACCTGCTCAAACAATAATGAATACGCTCGACCCGCCACTGAGGTTGAAAAATCAATTCGACAAAACCATAATTAAATAAAATGCAATCAACCTGCTCAAGCCATAATGAATATGTTCGACCCGCCACTGAGGTCGAAGAATAATTTCGATGAGACCAAACCAATCGAAAACGGTAAACTTTCCATGCCCGTTGTCAAGGATGCCTTATTCAATGAAGAGGCAAGAAGGAAGACATGAGCACAGATCAGACTCATGCCCTTGTGATGGAGAATCGAGGAAGACCACAAGGCAAGCAACAAAGAAGCGGTAGAGGAAAGAGCAGGGGTAGAAACAAGGGGAGGCAATCAGATGATCGAAAATCACATATGTGTTATCATTGTGGTCTAGAATATCATATGAAGAATAATTGCTATAAATGGCGCGAGGAGCAGGGCAAGAGCAATTCTCAGCCGAAGAATAGTTCTCAGCAGAAGAACAAGGGCAAAGATGGTGAAACTCTCATCACTGTCTCAGGTGATATAGCATATTGCTCTAACCATGGTAAGACATGCCTTCATGTCTCAAGAGAAGACATTAAATGGGTGGTAAATACTGCAGCATCTTATCACGTTACTCCCAACATGAAATACTTAACAACATACCAAGCTGGAGACTTTGGATCGGTGAAGATGGGAAATTTCAGTTCCTCTAAAATTGCCGGAATTGGTGATATCCAGGCAACGACAGGAACCGGGAGTACAATCATATTGACGGAAGTCAGACATGTGCCAGATCTTAGGTTGAATCTTTTGTCAGTGGTGGCTCTGGACAAAGAAGGATATGAAAATCACTTTGGTGCAAGTTATCAAAGGTTGTTCTGAAAATCGCCCGAGGACATGTTTGTGGGATGTTGTACAAAACACATTTGAAGATTAGTACAAAAAGTCTCAATGTTGCAGAGGATGCTTCTCAGGATCTATGGTACCAGAGACTTAGCCATATGAGTGAGAAAGGGTTGACTACCCTAATGAAGAAGGATCTTATCAAGGTTGATAAGAGTGTTGCGTTGGTTTTTTGCAGTCATTGCATGTCCGTCAAGCAACATAGAGTCTCATTCAATGCCAATTCAACAAGGAGATCAGAGTTGTTGAGCTTGGTACACTCTGATGTTTGCGGTCCCATGAAGGTTGAATCACTGGGTAGAAGCAGATATTTTCTGACTTTCATTGATGATGCTTCTCGAAAGGTGTGGCTATATTTCCTGAACACGAAGGACCAGGTGTTTGAGCACTTCAAGTCATTTCACGTCATGGTGGAACGTGAAACATGAAAGAAGCTAAAATGTCTCCGATCTGATAATGGAGGCGAGTATACTTCCAAGGAGTTCGACGCATATTGCAGGACATTTGGCATTCGACATGAGAAGTCAGTACCACGTACCCCTCAACACAACGGTGTTGCTGAAAGAATGAATCGGACTATCATGGAGCGTGTCCGAAGCATGATGAATATGGCTAAATTACCAAAGCCATTTTGGGGAGAAGCTGTCAAGACCGCATGTTATCTAATCAACCGATCACCTTCAGTTCCATTAAATTTTGAAGTTCCAGAGAGAATATGGACTGGTAAGGATCCGTCATACTCACATCTCAGAGTGTTTGGTTGTGTAGCATATGCCCATGTATCCTAAGAGCTCATAAAGAAGCTCGATGTGAGGTTAATCCCATACATTTTCATTGG